GGTGATGATAATGTACATGATGAGGCTGAACCTGCTGGTGACGACTATGCTGATGATGGTCACGATGAATATGATGATGATGATGATGATGATGATGATGATGATGATGATGATGATGATGATGATGAGGATGCTGCTGATTATGATGCTGATGATGATGCTGCTGATGATGATGTTATGATGCTGATGATGCTGATGCGGCTGATGCTGCTGCTGCTGATGATGATGATGCTGCTGCTGCTGATGATGCTGATTATGCTGCTGCTGCTGCTGATGATGATGATGATGATGATGATGATGATGATGATGATGATGATGATGATGATGATGCTGATGATGATCCTTGTGACGAATATGAATAGCCAGGCCTCGATGGGTCAGCATATGAAAGGTACGATGTGTGTTGAGCAAGAGGATGACGACGCTCTTGATGTGAGTGTGTTGAGTGAGAGTGTCGTGAAGTTGTCGCTGCTGCTGGTGACGGTGGTGGTGGCGATGACGATGGTGTGGGAGTGGTTGTGTATAGGTGCGTGTTCCTGCGGGGGGGGGGTCGAGAGAAACAATACTCCACTTAGGATGTGGGGAGCTATCATCATACTGATTTTCGGTGATGTCTGCGTGCTCGTCGGTCCTCTGGGCGGGCCACGAAGCCCCTGAGGCGGCCCCAAGACGGCCCCGCGGGGCTCGAAGACGGTCCAAGAGGTCCCCCAAACGGCCCAACAGGCCGCCCAGATGGATCCAAGTCGGGCCCAAGGCGGCCCAGGAACGCTCCAAGATGGCCGCCAGTGGCCTCTCGAGCGTCCCCAGGCCTTCCAAGAGAGCTCCAGTGGCCCCCTAGGGCCGCCCATGTGGCTCCAGGAGGCTCGGGAGGGCCCTTGTGGGAGCCGAGGGACCCCCCAAGGAACGCTCCAAGATGATCCCAAGGGGGGACTTCCACGAGGCCCCCGAAAGGCATCCCGAGCGTCCTGCCTTTGCAGGGCCCCAGGACCCTCCCCTCCTTCTCTTCCTCCTCCTCCTCCTCCTCCTCCTCCTCCTCCTCCTCCTCCTCCTCCTCCTCCTCCTCCTCCCCTCTCCTGGGCTGCCCCACCCCCCCCTCGGCCGTCTCTCCTCGCCGCTCGCACGCTCGCGCTTCGCGGGTCGCTCCCCCCCTCCGTCGGCCTCCTCGGTCCTCTCCTTGGTCTGACGTGGTGCAAAAAAGCAGCTGCTGTGCTGAGACTAGCTTCGCCTGTGGTGCTCGTCGGTCCGCTTGGGGCCCTGACTCCTCGATCCTCTCCTGGCAGCAGGCTGCGCCAGCAACCAGAAGCATGCAGAGAGTCAGCACCCTGCAGCTTCGAGCAGCATCGCCGAGCGGCAGCAGCGCGAAGCAGGCACCAGCAGCGGTAGCACACAGCAACAGCAATTAGCAGCAGGGAGTGGGGAAGCATAACGAACCACATGCAATGGCCATCAGCAGCGCCCTACAGGAACAAGCAGCAACAACGCGCAGCAGTGGTAAGCATTACCAACATCACGCAGCAGCGGCAGTCAGCAGCAGGACGCAGTAGCGTGCTCGGAATGCGAGGGTCGAGCCCCACGTCATCATTGCAGCCTTCCGACAGCCTGTCTACAAGTACATGCCAGTTCGCGCAGATATTGTGGACGTGGTCCACGGGTCAGGCCTGGTCATCTCTACAGAACCGGGGCACATAGGATCTGGACACCGAGTGGGGGTAAGGATTGCGAGGCGCACCCACCAGCTCTGGCGAGAGCGCCATTCCTGAGTGAGGGCCTCTCTGGCAAGGACGTTCCCGAGTAAATTGTCAGGACGTGTCGAACTGGAACCGTTGCCGCCGTACTTGGGCTTTTGCGAGATTGGCTGGATTGCGAGGAAATCTCGAACGAGAGCGCCACTCCTGAGTTTTGGGGCCTCTCGGGCCAGGGCGTCTCGGAGTGAGTTGTGAGGATGTGTCGAGCGGTAGTCTTTGGTCGTCGTGGTTGGGGGTTCAACCAGGATTTGGACGCGAACCCGTGCTCGAGCAGTACTGTCGTTTTCAGTAGCCGGCGTCGGAGCGAGAGCGCCTGCATCTCCTTTCCATGAGTCTTCAGAGGTGAAGGATCAACGGCGACGGTGTTTGCTTCCACGACGCGGTGGATGTACCCCCCGGCAGCAGAGCCTCGTCCGCGTTTCTGTTCGCATTTGTTCGAGTCTTATGTTCGCGTGCCCCTGGTGGCCCGGGAGGTGCCGCACGGATTCCTGCCAATCCTTGGAGAGGGGCCTTCGTCGCCGCGTCCCGCCAACGGCTTACACTCTGGGTGACGTGCCGGCTCGCTCCGCGGTGGCCCTGGCCCGCCGACGCCCCCCGAGGAGGAGGCCGCAGCCCCCCTTCCCCGCCTGGCTCGAACACCGTGGCGCCCGCGCGCCCTGTGGGCCTCCCCCCTCCTCCTCGTGCTTCTCCTGCCCCTCCTCCTCCTCCTCCTCCTCCTCCTCCTCCTTTCCCTCCTCCTCCTCTCTTCCTCCTCTCCCTCCTCCTCCTCTCTTCCTCCTCCTCCTCCTCCTTCTCCTCCTCCTCCTCCTCCTCCTCCTCCCACTTCCGTTCTTGTTTCTTAGAAATAATATTCCCTGTCGCACCCCGAGGCCACAAATGGCGTTCTGGCACGATTCAACATCGTGAGGACGCAGCAGTCAGGTTGGTCCGTGGCGTGGACATCCCGAGCACATTGTTTTGGCACGCGTCAAGGTCTTCAAACAGTTGTCTTCCAACGAGGCAGTTCCCTCAATGGAAATGAACCGTTTTAGGGGCCTGTGAGCTGGGAGGGAGGGCTAATTCCAACATCGTTGATGACCCTTGGGTTTACACTGGTCCTCCTCCTCCTCCTCCTTCTCCTCCTCCCCCTCCTCCCCCTCCTCCTCCCCCTCCTCCTCCCCCTCCTCCCCCTCCTACTCTCCCCTGCTCCTCCTCCTCCTCCCCCCCCTCCTCCTCCTCCTCCTCCTCCTCTTCCTCCTCGTCCTCCTCCTCCTCCTCCTTCTCCATTCCTTCTCCTTATAGATAACTCCTCCCTGTCGCACCCCGAGACCAGTTTTTAGGGCGGGCCGGGCGTGTCGCGTGGGACTTCCTCACCATTTATGATTTTGAAGCTAAAAGACTGGCAACAGTTTCTCAGATGGAGGGTGGGTCGTTTTCGAAGTGTGGCTCTCGTCATAGCGCCGCGCACATTCGTTTTGGAATTTGGCAAGAGTTTCACGGATTGAGGGCGGGTGGTTATCAAAATGTGGCCCTCGCTTTAGCGCCGCGCACATTCGTTTTAAACAGTTGCACGAGTTTCACGGATTGAGGGCGGGTCGTTTTCAGAATATGGCTCTCGCCCTAGCGCCGCGCACATTCCTTTTTTAACATTGCAAGGGTTTGACGGATTCCCAGGATCAGCGTAGCAGAAATGGTGTTTTAGGAAGGATTCAGGACTATGCGGCGGGTGCAACAGTTATGTTGATTCGCCGTATTGAAGTCCCACAAATGGCGTTCTGGCACGATTCCAAGTCGTCAGGACGCAGCAGACAGGTTGGTCCGTGGCGTGGACATCCCGAGAACAATGTTTTGGCACGCGTCAAGGTCTTCAAACAGTTGTCTTCCAACGAGGCAGTTCCCTCAATGGAAATGAACCGTTGTCGGGGCCTATGAAGAGGGAGCTTGGAGGGAGGGATAATTCCAACATCGTTGATGACTCTTGGGTTTACACTGGTCTCCCTCCTCCTCCTCCTCCTCCTCCTCCTCCTCCTCCTCCTCCTCCTCCTCCCCCCTCCTCCTCCCCCTCCTCCTCCCCCTTCTCCTCCCCCTCCTCTTTCTCCTCCTTCTCCTCCTCTTCCTCCTCCTCCTCCTTCTCCATTCCTTCTCCTTATAGATAACTCCTCCCTGTCGCACCCCGAGGCCAGTTTTTAGGGTGGGCCGGGCGTTTCGCTTGAGTCTTCCTCACCACGGGTGGTTTTCAACATGTGGCTCTGGCCTCAGCGCCGCGCACATTTCGTTTTTAAGAATTTACAGGAGTTTCACGGATTGAGGGCGGGTGGTTTTCAACATGTGGCCTCGCCGCAGCGCCGTGCACATTCGCTTTAAACGTTTGCCAGAGTTTCACATGTGGAGGGCGGCTGGTTATCAAAATGTGGCCCTCGCTTTAGCGCCGCGCACATTCGCTTTAAACACTTGCACGAGTTTCACGGCTTGAGGGCGGGTGGTTTTCAAAATGTGGTTCTCGCCGAAGCGCCGCGCACATTCGTTTTTAACATGTGCAGGATTTTCACGTATTGAGGGCGGGTCATTTTCAAAATGTTGCTTTCGCTTCAGCGCCGTTCACATTCGTTTTTAGAATTTGCAAGAGTTTCACGAATTAGGGGCGGGTCGTTTTCAGGATGTGGCTCTCGCCTTAGCGCCGCGCACATTTGTTTTTAAATCTGCAAGAGTTCCACGGATTGAGGCCGGTTCCTTTTCAATATGTGGCTCTCGCCTTCGCGCCGCGCATATTCGTTTTAAGATTTGCAAGAGTTTCACGGATTCCCATGAGCAGCGTGCCAGAAATTGTGATTTGGAAGGATTCAGGATTATGCGGGCGCAACAGATATGTGGATTCGCTCTGTTGAAGTACCAAAAACGGCTATCTGGCACGATTCTGCATCGTCAAGAACCAGCGGTCAGGTTGAACAATGTTTTGGCGCGTCTCAGGATCTTCAAACGGTTGTCTTCCAACGAGGCAGTTCCCTCAATGGACATGAACCGTTGTATGGGGTCTATGAAGAGGGAGCTTGGAGGGAGGGTGAATTCCAACATCGTTGATGACTCTTGGTGTTCCACTGGTCCTCCTCCTCCTCCTCCTCCTCCTCCTCCTCCTCCTCCTCTCCTCCTCCTCCTCCCCCTCCCCTCCCCCTCCCTCCCCTCCTCCCTTTCCTCCTCTTCCTCCTCCTCCTCCTCCTCCTCTTCCCCTCCTCCTCCTTCCTCCTCCTTCCTCGCTCCCCCTCCCCCTTCTCCTCCTTCTCCTCCTCCTCCTCCTCCTCCTCCTCCTCCTCTTCCCCCCCGCGGGCGTGCAGCCGCCATGCTGGCCCAGAGCCGCCTGCTGCTGCTGCGCTCCGCGGCCGCGCCGCCGCGCGCCGCGCGGGGCTCCGCGCGGCAGGTGCGGCGCGCCGCTCTGGCGCCCTCGGCGGCGTCGGCCGCGGGCCCGCCACCGGCCATCGGCCGCGCCCGGGCGGCGAGCACGCGCGCCGTGGTGTACTACCAGGGCCCCGGCGCGCCGGCCAGCCTCGCCAGCACGGGCCAGGTCTCGAAGAAGAAAAACCGTCATAAACATGATCTTTTATACGCTCCGCGTGGACTTCTTGGATCCGCGAAGAGGCCCCCCGGTGCCAGGGAGGGGGCCTGGCGCGGATCCAAAGAACCTGCGCGAACCTCCAAAAAGTTTATGGCTACGCGGCTTTCTGTTCCTCCAAGGTTGGCACGCACCGCGACCTGGCTGGCTCCGACGGGGAGTTCTTCGGCGTGGACCCGCGGCCGACCGAGGTGGCGATCGAGGACGGCCGCGGCAGGCGCTTCACCATGGACGAGAACGGCTTCCAGCTGGAGCGGCACGAGTGGGGGCACGTGGACTACTACAGCTCCCGGGATGTGCTGGACGCGTACTACCCCGAGTGCGAGCGTCTGGTGTGCGAGAGGACCGGTGCCAAGTGGGCCTTGGCCTTCGACCACAACGTGCGCGCGGCCAGCAGGAAGAAGAGGCACGAGATCGGCGGAGGCAAAAGGGTCGGATAGTCCAGCGGCGGGCACTTCAAGCACTCGCCGGGGCAGCCTCGCCGAAGACGTGGGCGGCCGGTGCGATCCCCTGTGGTCTATCCGCCCCTGTTGCAGCCGCCGACGAGATGATGGAGGGTGGGAGTGCGGTGCAGGATCGAAGAAGACACAACGCCACAAACATAGACCTTTGGCGCTCCGTGTGGATCTCTTGGATCCGCGCTTGGCCCCCCCGCCCTCCGCGCGCCAGGGAGGGTGGTCCAGCGCAGATTCAAGAGATCCGCGCGGAGCGCTAGAAGTTTATGTTTCTGGCGTTTTTTCCTCGGAGTTGGAACACATACGTTACCAGTGGCGGGCCGTTTTTCAATCCCAGGACTTTTTGGGGGTCGGGGACGACGTCGGGGTAATGTGGTGTATATTTTGTTCCCCGCTTCCCCAGGGAAGCAACGAAAAACAGTATACACCAGGATCCCGTCTACCCCAGGATCCGCATTCTTCTGCGAACGTCAGTGCGGGGCCGGAAAAAGCGTCTGTGTATCGAGTTCGGCTCCTGATGTTTTCTTTTTCTGCAGGAGCCGCTCATCAGCTACGGCGTGCACAACGACTACACCGCCGCCTCGGCGACCGCGCGCATCCGGCAGCTGGCCCAGCCCCCGAGGCAGAACGACACCCTGCGGGCGAAGGTCGGGGCCCGGCCGCCCATGCCTCGGGGGCTGCCTTGGAGGTGCTCCGTTGCCCAGGGTGGCCCCCGCTTTCCGCGCTGCTCTGGACCTCGCGGATGCACTGGCCTCGCGAGGGATTCTCCTCCTCCTCCTCCTCCTCCTCCTCCTCCTCCTCCTCCTCCTCCTCCTCCTCCTCCTCCCCCTCTTTCCTCCTCCTCGACCTCCTCCTCCTCCTACTCCTCCTCCCCGTCATCCCCGTCCTCCCTCCTTCGTTTTCCTCCCTCCCTCCTCCTCTTCCTCCTGCTCCTCCTCCTCCTGCTCCTCTTCCTCCTCCTGCTCCTCCTACTCCTGCTCCTCCTCCTCCTCCTCCTCCTCCTCCTCCTCCTCCTCCCCTCCTCCTCGCCCTTCCCCTCCTCGTCTCCGTTGTCGTCGTCTCCTCCTCCTCGTCCTCCTCCTCCTCCTGCTGCTTCTCCTTCCTCCTCCTCCTCCTTCCATCCTCCTCCTCCTCTCCTCCTCCCCGTCCCCCTCCTACTCCTCCTCGTCCCCGTCCTTCCTCCTCCTCCCTTTTCCTCCCCTTCCCCTCATTGCCTTTCCTCCTCCTCGTCCTTCTCCGCCTCCGCCCAATTGATAATACTCCTAGTCCTCCTCCGTATCCCTTTTCCTCCCTCCGCATCCTCCTCCTCCTCCTCCTCCTCCTCCTCATTCTCCTCCTCCTGCTCCTCCTCCTTCTCCTCCTCCTCCCCTCCCCAGCCTCTCGCCCCTCTTCCTCCTCTCCCCGGACCTCCTTCCTCCTTCCTCCCTCCTTCTCCTCCCTCCCCCTCCTCCTGCTCCTCTTCCTCCTCCTCTTCTCCTCCTCCGCTCCGCCCCCTCCTCCTCCTCTCCGCCTCCGCCTCCTCCTTCCTTCCTCCCTCCTCCTCGTCCCTCCTCCCTCCTCCTCCTACTCCTCCTCCTCCTCCTCCTCCTCCTCCCCCTCTTCTCCTCCTCTCCTCCTCCTCCTCCTCCTCCTCCTCCTCCTCCTCCTCGTCCTCTCCCTCCTCCGCCTCCTCCTCCGCCTCCTCCTCCTCTCTCCTCCTCCTCCTCCTCCTCCTGCCCCCCTTTTCCTCCCTCCTCCTCCTTCTCCTCCTCCTCCTCCTCGTCCTCCTCCTCCTCCTCCTCCACCTCCTCCACCTGCGCCGCCACGCTTGCGCAGGTGGGCACGTTGCGCCAGCGACGGCAGGCGCGGCGCGGATGCAGGGGAGTCGCGATGCACGCTTGCGATGGGGGGGGGGGACCCGTCACTGGGCATGGCCCGGGTGGGCTGACCGCGCGAAACATTTCAGCCAATTCGTGGCTCGTGTTGGCTGAAACTCGAGCGGGCTTCGGGCGGGGTGGCTCCACCCCGGTTTTTCAGCCAACTTGGGCCGCGTCTTGGCTGAATTTCCGGGCAGCCTTCGACCTCCCGCAAGTGACCTCTCCTGCGAGCATGGGGCGCCCAGGCTGGCCACCCTTCCTTCGCACCACTCTGTCCTCTGGGGGCTTCCCCATGCACCCTTCCTTCCTCGGGCCCTCTCCCCCGTCCCCCCCCCCCCCGCGTGGCCGGACGGGGGCCTGGGCCCGGCCCCACCAGGGTGGCGCACCGAAGGCCCGAGGGCGGAGCTCGCCCACCCAGGTGGGGTTCTTCCCCCACCCCCTGGGCACCCGCCCCTCCCCGGGGGTGGGCCCGGTATCAGCGAGATCCACAGCGGGATCCTCCTCCTCCTCCTCCTCCTCCTCCATCTCCTCCTCCTCCTCCTCCTCCTCCTCCTCCTCCTCCTCCTTATCCTCCTCCTCGTCTTC